CATCCCTTACCTTGTACCTGTCTCTCCACCTCCAATCTTGACCTGTAAGGCCTATGATTCTTGCTGGGTAATATAGTATATGACATAAGAAAGTAAGATATTTTGAAAGGGTAGCATCAAAACATCCATGTCAACATTAAGAAAAACAATTTTTTCTTTTTAAAATTGCCAAATAGTATGTCTCTGACCTACCATTCCTTGGTGTCAACTTGTTTCTTATTGTTGGTAGTATGTTTTCCCTACTACGTGGTTTGTATATGTCTTCAAACATTTGGTCACATCATATGTATCTTCAGACTAATTAAATTTGTCTGCAGTTGTCCAGATATATTGTCTGTCAAGATCTCAAATTCATAGTAGTGCTTGGTGAGAAATTTTTTTAACAAAAGGATTTCTACAGTTTGATGTGTTTCCTAAGGCTAGGGGATTGGTTAAGGGGTAAGGGAAGTCTATTGTGTACATAGCTCAGTTGTAATAAAGTTTAAAGATCATGTCAAAATGTCAATATACTCAGCATAGGTACATTTGTGGGGAGATTTTTCTCCTTTCCTATATTATTCAAAAGCCCAATAATAGATAACAAATGTTGAAATGTGGACTCCAATAGAAATTGCTTGTGTGTGTGTGTGTGTGTGTGTGTGTGTGTGTGTGTGTGTAAGAGCGAAGTGTAAGCAGTATCTGAATATTATTAGTAGGGACTACTTCACTTCCCAAATCACTTTGGGAGGGCTCTTCTTTTTGCTCACTGCATTTAAAGAAATTAAAATGACCAATAACAGCCCGGCCAGGCGTGGCTGAGTGGTTGAGCGTCGACCTAGGATCCAGGCGATTGGGGTTCGATTCCCGGTCAGGGCACATGCTTGGGTTGCGGGCTAGGCAGCCGATCAATGACTCTCTCATCATTGATGCTTCTAACTCTCTCTCTCTTCCTCTCTCTGAAATCAATAAAGATATATTTAAAAAAATAAAAATAAATAAAATGACCAATAACAACAGTAACAGTTAAAGTCTGGTGTTAAAGCAAAAACATTTTTCATGAGAAATTCAACTGTGCTTCATAGGGCTTACAATGCAGCAACTCAGAAGGCAGGATAGTCCCCCTGATAGTCTCCAGACAAAGTTTAATTCTTCTGTCCTGCCTAAGGCCCTGGAGCTCCATTCATCTCCTTTTATGTTTATTTTCTTAAAGGGGTTTAAATTAGTATTAAACATTTCATTTTAAAAAACAACATCCTTTTATCCCCTGAACTATCTTCAGTGAGGACAAGTATCTGGAAAAGAAATCAAGCATCATGGTTGTCTTCTAATATATCTAAGATTTTGAAGGCAGAGAGAGTTTTGGAATTGCTTTTTGTCCCAGTGCTACTTTTTAACACAAATCTGCATCAGGTTAAAATTCCAAAACCTGGTGGAGAATGATTATTTCAGTGTAGCTTTCCAAATCATAGTGGCATTTCTCTGGGCAATGATAATAAAGCTGTCAACTTGTTTTTTAGCCTGGGGTGCCTCCACTTCTGGTTGGGACATCTCGTTTTGGAGCTGCTGTCGAAGGAAATCGGTTTTCAAGTCAAGAGGGTTATTGGTAATATTTCAGATGTCTCTTTCAGCTGCATGCATTTTGCTCTCTCCCTCCCTGCCTTTCCTGAAGGAACAGGTCCCTCTATGCCAGTGACTTTATGTGATTTGTAAGATAACAGCGAAGGATAGCTTGCAAAATGAGAGAAACAAAGGAATCATTTAAAAATACCATCATTTTGATGGCAGCATTACCCAGGACCAGTAAAAATGTCTGCAGGGCAATTAGAAAGGAATTTTATTTTATTTATTTTTCTCTTAGTGGAATAACTAGAGGGCTGGCCCCAGGCTGTTTTATGGTATTGCTATTTGGCCCCTGTGGTTTTAGCTTGGAGTGAGAATGGAAAGAAATGAGCTCATGTAATGTTTGTAAATGTTGCACGTGATCTTGTTTTATCCTCTAAAGTTCAGAAAGCATGCTGTCAGAGGTTCCCAATTATTCATGTTGGAGGAGTTACTGTTCTTAAAATTGCCTTGAGATTATTGAGGGGGAAGTGACATGCTATGGCAGTTTAAGTCCCTGAGAGATGATGTGTTCTTGCTGGCTGTCTTCTCTGATCTAAGGGGCTCAAGGAGGGTGGATGGAGGACACAAAGAGGACAAGTGGCTTACAGACTAATTGGTTGCCACCACTCCTCGTATTATATAAATACCAAGCTTACAGTTTGTTAGGTTTTCATAACATTTTAGTGTAAGCAAGCTAAAGAGTTGAATTTTCTATACTGCTCACTTCTACTCTTAGATCATCAGCCTTTGTGTGCTGCCCTGAAGAGCTTTTCTACAGAGTCCCAGTGCTGTCACCAGCAACCAACTGGGGAAAAAGAAAAAGTGGCACGTGTAGGAATTAGAAAATGATTTGCTCTTCCTTATACCTAGAAATATCCAGCCCCTTCTCTAGTCAAATTTTCAAAACAGCTCCATTTCCATACAAATTATTCATTGGCTGTAAAGGTCACTAGGAATTGGTGAGCATTAGAGACTGCAAACCAATTAGAATGTGGCAATAGCTTGGCTCAAAATTGAATGTTGATTCAAATAGACTCCAGTAATATGATGCTCTTTAATGAAACCATCATTGCATGGATTAGTAGATGCTTTCCTGGGTTTTGAGAAAGATACAAAATGCATGGGGGATGCGGCCTGGGCATGGGAACAATCACTATTTTGTTACACTTTCAAGCCTTTGTGCTAATAAATCTTCCCAGAGAGACTCCTTTGCCTGCAATATGGATGAATGTCTTTTGAAATCTTAATGGGAATTGATGCCATCTATCGATTACCATTTAAAGCACACCTTCCTAATTTCTAATCATTGTTGAAGGAAAAATGCTTTCCAGTGGAACAAGTATTTCTTATCAGAGGGTCTAAGTCTGGTATCTTGATAGCCTAATTGTTAATTATTTCATATAGCAACTTGATGCCTATTGGGACCGTGAACATAAGCTCTGTTGAAGTTGATACAGACCAGATTTCCATGGAGCAGATTATGTGCTGACTACTCAGCAGATGGAAATCCCTGGCTTCCTGCCCTGAAATGTGTGAGTGATTTCATGGGGACAGGGGATTATTCCCAGAGAAGCTTCTGGGACTGCCATGGTAGTGAGGGTCAAGGCCAGGTTAGTTCCAGTGGGTCTTCATATCATTTTGATGCTTCAAATACTGGGTCTCTCTCCCTGGCTGGGGATGACAGTCTGCTAGGTCAACAGTGCGTAGAAGTAAGATAGAGATATCCAGAGCCAATGAGACTTCTTGGAGGGTTTCCGAACTAACCCTTTTTCCTCCAGGGAATGAAAACAGTTTTTAGTTAATTGCTATAATTCCAAGAAACACACTCCTCTTGGTTTCCCATGAAACAATTAGATCAATCTCATGATAATACATGTAGAAATATATTTTTTACTGATTTCTTAAAACAAGCTGGTTTATAACCAACATCTGTTTACTCTGGACCTTTGAAGAAAAGGCAGTAATTATACCTGCCATCCAATAATTTGATTATTGGTTGGAGAGAGTGACTAAATGTTTCCTCTCTACCTACTACACAAGTGCCTTTTGGATCCTTGCTAGAACCAGTTGCAGTGGTTGTAGTATCAGGCAGTGGTAATGTGTAGAATGGGTTCATTTTCTAATCAACCACCATATTTTGGTTGGGACAACTGCAAAAAAACATTTGAGTTCTTAAACACTCCATTGGTAGCCTTTTAAATATTCCAGTTGCTACGGAACAAAGGTCTTGATAGTTTATGTAAAAGTGGTTTGTCCATCATATTATCCTTTGATTTTTCTGCCTCCATCTCCTTTTATCTTTCCTCTTGACAGTGTTTATGCAGTTTTATTAACTTTTTCTAGTGAACAACTTACTGTTTCCCCACTAAGAGTTGGCCT